AGTGCACATATTCCATTAGCAACAGCTGCCCGGGAGGCCAAACCCTCCCAGTCCTGCAGTTTGCAGCAATAGCTCGCATTAAGGCTATGCTGCCGTGCGGTTCCTCAGATGATTTACATTTGAGAAGACATGGGTGATTTCTCTGACAGACAGCTGCCTCTAATACGTGCATTTGCGTGATGGTCGTGATTATCATTTTGAAGGTGAAAATGTGATCAGTGAAATTACGATGAGACTCCTTTCCCTCTGAGGCCTTGGTACTTCCCCCAAAAACTCAAGGGTCTTTTTGCAGGAATATCTCTGAACAGAACGGCACCTGCAGGTAATGATTTTCCTAGGAGGCTCTTAATAAGCCAGAATCCTACCCGTTTAATTCACTATAGGACAGCCCATTAACCAAGGCAATTTCTGCTGGTTTCTCTGCCTCCTGTTAGTGTAAACAGGGGTGCTTTCTGCTCAGCCTCGGAGCAAGTCCTTGGCTTTAATCCAAGCTGCCTCTGCCTGTTTTCTCCCGGCGCAGCCTCTGTGCTGTTGAAGCTGTTTGGCTGTCACTCTTCCATGGTTTGGGTGTTTTGTCATTTTTTGATGCTGGGATGCATTTGCTGTCAGGAGGAATTTACAGGCACATTAGCTCGCCTGTTAGGGACAGGGAGCCACACCGGCTGCCGAGCTGGGGCTGCCACATGGAGCTCCTTCATTTTCTGCTGCCTGTGGTGGAATTTCCCAACTGCACTAATTATATTACTGCCCTGATACAAGCCTCTGAAATAATAAAATACCTGTAAGTCCTGCTGCTTGGACTTTAGAGCAATTGCAGTTAGTTTTAAATAATTCATGGCAAAATCAGCTGTGAGAATACAAAGCTGTGCAGTCCTATTGCCTGCTATTATTATGTTAAACCTCACCAGAGTGGGGGGCAGCTTGCAGTACTTAGAAACAGTTGCTATGTAGGGTTGGAGCAGGCATTCTTTGGGCTGGATTTCAGGAGTTAACAGTAATCAGCACCCGTCCTGTTTTTACTGGTTATTGTTTTTCACTGATTAACCTTGCTCTCTTCCCTCTCCCCGAGTACCAAGAAGGGTCTGCGACCAGTGTGGCTGATGGGTTGGGTGATAGACAGCTGCTCTAAAAATAGATGGCAGGGCTGGAGGGCAAGGCAGCTTGACTCCTCCTCCAGGAGGCTGAGATCCTCCGTATCACATATGGTCCCGACCTGCCTTTGGGATGGTTTTCTGGGGGCTGAACTCAACCATGAGATTCATCCCTGCACAGTGGCTGAATAAGTTTAATAACAAAACTCTAAGAGTATTGTTATAAAAGAGTTTGGAATGCAATATCATCTATGGTGGCTTTGCAGAAAGTCTTGTGCATGGGAGGCTTGGGGGACTTCAAACCTCAGGGGGACCCAGGGACCTTGTAAAATTGGACCAAGTGGAGCATGAGATGCACTTCTGTAAAGTCACTCATCCCCCAGCACCTGTACACTTCCCTCTGGGATAGTTGTTTTGAGCTGTGATGGGGAGAATGAGTTTGCAGTAGCAGTCCTTTGCAGTGCCGCTTTGCACAGCCACGCACACCTGTACAAAGCAATGAATCACAGAATCACAGAATCACAGA